TTTATCTATTTATTTATCTATCTATTTATTTATTTACCTATCTAATAGTCAGTGCATTGACTTTGTAACCTGCGGGCTCTCGGTCACAGTCAGGGCAAGCAAGTGTCCCATTTCAATTATTTCAACTTATATTGAAATAACTTAATAAAGAATATTGCTATAATATTCAAAACTAGATGCATAGATCGGCGTAATCGAGATCTTGAAAAGTCTAACCAAGTATGAAATTTTCTTATTAACAATTTAATAATCAATAAAGTGAATAATATTTGATCATCGATTGAATTTGATTGAAAATCAAATATTTTATATTGAAAATTTTATATTCTTTCAATATTAATCGTATTTTAAATTAAAATTAAATATGAAAATCTAATATTCAAAGAACTCTCAATCAAGTGGACTCGTGCAGTTTATTTTTATTGCTATAGCTTTTATAAGTATTATTTTATTCAAGTCATAAATATAATGGAAAAGGTGACGTTCTTGAATTTTCGCCTAACTGTCCGAGCTTTTTTCGCTTTTCAAACTGTAATTTTGGCGTGATCAATGTTATTTTACTTATTTTCATAATGAAACTATATAATATTTTTTACAAGTAAAATATAATGCACTTATCTCGATTCGTATATCTAATTTCTATTATTACAGCTTTTTTTTTTTCGTAATTGATTTATTCTTAATACAAATCGCGATTTTCGATTTTTTTTTTCGATAAAGAATTAAAAACCATTTTTTTCTTTTACGATTTGCAATTTAGATAAGTTGATAGTAAAAAGAGCGATGGTAATAAAAATGGAATGCATTAATCGACGGAATCGAGCTCTTAGAAAGTAATTAAAATTTTAATGTTATAGCTCTAGTCGTTGCCAAGTTATTCCTAATACAAGTTGAAATAATTGAAAGAAGACACTTGCTTGCCTTGACTGTGACCGAGAGCCCGCAAGTTACAAAGTTAGTGCATTAATCATTATCTATTTATTTATCTATTTATTTATCTATTTATTTATCTATTTATTTATCTATTTATTTATCTATTTATTTATCTATTTGTTTATCTATTTGTTTATCTATTTGTTTATCTATTTGTTTATCTATTTGTTTATCTATTTGTTTATCTATTTATTTTAGCATATACACACCTCTTTCTCGCTCTCTCTCTCTCTCTCTCTTTCTCTTCTTTTCTTTCTTACACCCTTTCTCTTTCACACCCCTTCTCACCCACTTAACTTCATTGCCTTTAATCCAACCTACCTTAAGCCAAATATACTTAGACATCTTTACTTAAACATGTATATGATAACGCTTATATACCTTAAAGGCAGGTAAAGGGTTATTTAAACCGTTAACTGATATTCCGAGGACGGTCTCTTTAAAAGACGATTCCAAGCGGTTAGCATAGTTAGTAGATCACCTTAGGCCGATACCTGAAATTAAATAAAATCTGCAAACAAACGATTTAAATTATTTCAATCATAGCTAAAATAAAATTAATTCAATCGATTAAATCGTTTATTATAAAAGGTCGTTTTACCTGCTCCTTCAGCACGGCAGAAGGCCCTTTCCCTCTGGCAGAGCACTCTTGTCTCTGCGCGGTGTGGCTTTCGAGCCAGGGAGCCTCACTCACCCGCAATGGCAAACCGCAAAGACAACATACCGATCCCCTACATCACCGCTTCGAGTCGATGCGATTCGCCTCACCTCGGCGGCCGTCTCCCGTCTCCCGTCTCCCATCTCCCATCTCCAGCGAGGTATCCCCCCTCCCACTCCCGCCACCCAACCGGCAAGCCCCTTACCTCAACCCACCGCTCCCACGTCCCGTCCCCAAACCCTACACCTCAGATCCGTTAGCCGCAACCCTCCAACCAAAGCTTGCACAGTGCGCGCGCGCGCGCGAGAGGAGGAAAGCATTATATGCAGACACGCAAGTATTATCAGAAACCCGAATTTTCTAAGCACCGCTGACGCCCCCCTCCCCCCCTCCTCCCGCTCCCCAACGACGGAGAACCCGCTGCATATGGCGATGCCAGCACGGGCCCGACGTTTGTTTGGGGGGGAGAAGAAGGGGTTTGAATAGGGGGGAGACGTCTGCCTTTTCCGGCTCTTCCTGAAGATTATTCGTGGGAGATCTCATCATGTTTTTTTTGGGTAAACGTTTCTTGCGATGCGTAGCTGTGTGGCTGGAGCCGCAGAAGAAGCAGAAGCAGAAGAAAGCAGAAGAAAGCAGAAGAAAGCAGAAGAAAGCAGAAGAAAGCAGAAGAAAGCAGAAGAAAGCAGAAGAAAGCAGAAGAAAGCAGAAGAAAGCAGAAGAAAGCAGAAGAAAGCAGAAGAAAGCAGAAGGGGGAAGTGCAGAGGGAGGAAAAGGAGAGGACATCTTTACTCACAAGACCATGCAATACGACACAATACAATGCACTGAATCAACAGGACAGATGGCCAGAGTATGAGATGACGGGTCCCCGGGGATCATCTTCGCAACTGCGCTTGCCGGGGGCTTGACCTTGACATTGACGTTGACCTTGACCTTGACGTTAAATCAGAAAAAAGTTTGTGGGAAGGAAGAAAAGGAGAGGCTGGCAGTTGAAAGGTTCATCTCGTGTAGTTGAGGGGGGAAAAAAAAGAAGAAGAAAAAAAGGTTTCGTGCCTGTGCGCGCTCGCTCGCTTGCCACTAGTAAAAATGGATCCATCCTACTTACCGACAGTACGGAGGATGGCTGGGTGAGCCTAACGGACCCTGCGCTACAGTAAGCCCGTGACGGGTGGATGGATTAGGGGTAGGTACCGGTAGTGTAATACCTACTACTAGCTTCTGGCTTGTGGCTTTTGGCTTTTGGCTTTTGGCTTTTGGCTTTTGGCTTTTGGCTTTTGGCGTTTGGCGTTTGGCGTTTGGCTTTCTCCTACGTACTACTACTACTACTACTACTACTACTACTACGTACTACCGGTACATACCTCCCTCTGTACGGAGCTCCGAGGCTGCGTTCTCTCTCTGTCGGGTTGGAGAGAACTTTGGGGAGAGAGTGAGCAGAGGGACCAGAGTCCGTATCGTTTGTACGGAGTACAGAGTAGACACCCTACCCTAACTCAGGTTTGATCAGTGCAAGGTACTCAGCGCAAAGCAGAATAACACGACTAGGTACCTAGGTAGGGAAGAGATACTCACGAAATCCCCCTCTCCTCTCCTACCCCCTTATTTCCAATATTACTGTACGAAGTACAAGATCACACCAAAAGGGACGGACTACGTACTACTACTAGTACCAACTTACTGAAACCTTACAGGCGAACTGTAATGATTAGTTTCCGCCTCAGGGCCGGGAAACGAAGTAAGGGGATTTAGACTTGAAGGTGGAGTTTTAAGCTTTTGAACCACCCTCGGACCTCAGCCGGTATCCATCCGGAGGGGTTGGGACGCGGGAGTGGTATACCGTATCTCGGAAGTCCCCAAGACCCAGGCAGGGCTGAGCTTGGCTGGAGGAAGAAGAATCCCTAAACTCAATACCCAAAGCCAAAAAGGACCGAGAGGGAGGGGGAAAGGTCACTCGTCAGCCTGCTACTACTAGCTGCCTCCTCCGTAGGGACCGGGTACGCCGTAGGGAGCAAAACGGTGGCACAGGGAGTCATGACAATGCATGAGATCGTACGGTCTCTTCCCAATGGAGCATTTGCATTTTGCTTCCACCGTGGTGGCCTCTAGCTACTTACTACCTCTGGTATAAGGAAAAGGCCTTGGTAACGAGCGTGAGTGTCAAACTTGTCGACAGAAAGGAGCGTCCCGGCTATCTACCCTTCCGGAGCCCAGCCCCGTAACTCCCTCCTCTCGCTTGTGATCCCGCAAAGCCAGACATGGAACAGCGTGCAAGACGGGCTTCGAGAGAGTGCCAGGAGACGGACTGAGGCCCAGGACTAAATATTCACAAAGAAAAAAAAAAAAGAACAAGCACAAAGTGTTTGGGTTGGACGAAACGTGGCCACCAGTAACGACTAGATCCACGCCGATGATATGGTGGGTTCCGCAGGGCCGAACGCGCCCATGAAGATGTTGTGGATCTCGCTCATGTAGTCTTCCGCACCGAACTTGAAGAGGCCCCGTGCAATCAGCTCTTGCTCTTCCTGGTAGACCTCGGCCAGTATGCCCTCAGCAATGCCGTAGTCCTCCGCGATCTCGGTGACCTGGGCGAGCTCGTTGCCGAAGGGGTGCGGTTCGAAGGAATCGATGTTGGCGCCGAACATGTTGATCGAGGAGCGAACGGTCGACGTGCTGTTCTTTCGGGAATATTGCGAGACAGAACCTCTGTGGATGGATCTCTCGATGCTGAGCTGCTTGGTGTGAGTCTGAGATCTGCGTGGGATCCGAGGCGCTTCACCGTCGGCACCACTGTATCTCGCGGCCACCGTGCCGAAGTAGCAGGAGAGGTGGTTTGGCTCGATTGGCGAAGATTCGACCGACGAGCAGTCTGCCGAAGTCATGGGGGTGGACATATCGGAGAGCGATTTGTCGGATTCGTCTCCAGATTGCGACGAGGTAGAGGCGCTTCTACTTGGGTAGATATCGGGTGCGTTGTAGGAAAGCATATTGGTCGTAGATAGCAGTTCGACGGGAGCAGATATCTTCAAGTTCGAGAAAGATTGCTTCGACTTGACCCGTCTGGTGAAAGCTCTGCTGAGAGACATCTTGGCTGACGGGGTCGGAGGGGGTTTTGAGGTTGAGGTTGAGACGCGACGATGGGCGGGGAATCAACTTCCTGCTGAGGATCTTCCCTCCAAGCCGAGATGCCAGGCGGACCTGCTGTTGTGCTTTGGGGTCGCTTGCACGAAGGAGACGGACTTGGTGAGACCCAGGTGACTTTTCGATATCGGTCCGTTTGAAAGAGAACCGTCGCGTCGATTGCACTGCAAGACAGGACTTCGGGGTAACCAAGTGTAGGGAGTGGTTTGGTTTTGGCGAGAATTAATGGGATGTTTACGTCAAGTAATGATGGTGGTTGTTGTGTCGCGTTCAGCGATTCGTGTGGAGGTAGAGAAGAGACCGGTCTTTTGCGTTTGGGGGGGGGGGGAAGGGGGGAATGGGGCGAAAGGTGAATAGGTAAGTACAATACAATGTCGTCGGTCTGTCTAGTCCTTGAGATCCAGCTAGGGAGTGTCGAGGCGGTTATGTCGATAGAGAGCGATCGAACAACCAGGTCCAGAATGAGCGAAGGCGATATCGACCCTGTCGATGATGCTGTGTATTTTGGGGGGGAGGGGGGAGGGGGGGGGGGGAAGTGGAGGTTGTTGATGGATACTCCGAGAGACACAGAAGGGAAGGGGGGGGGGAAAGGGAATGTGGAAACCGGCGGTTGTTATGAATTCCTCCTCTGCTTCTGCTGGCCCCTGGGGATGGACGAGTAGGGCGCATTGATGTCCGAGCGTCTAGTGGTCTGCAAGGGCCAGCGGTGCCAAACGTCTTGGAAGTACGGAGGAGTAGGCTAGAGGAGTTGGCTAGAGGAGTTGGCTAGAGGAGTACCTAGGCTAGAGGAGTAGCCTAGAGAGGAGTAGCCTAGAGGAGTACCGGTATTCTACAGTAGTACAGTACAGTGCAGTAGTGCAGTACTTACTAGTTAGTTGTACTGGTCCTAGTTCGTAAAAGCTCGGATGGCAGTCTGTCCATGGTTACACATACCGCTACTACTTACATTTTCGTTGGAGAGACGGGTCACGAGACACTGAGTCCAGCTGGCAGCAGAGGTCTAGAAGTACGGGTACAGTAGTCTAGACCTGGTCTCCTTCCCACGTCGTCCGTAGGTTCTGTACTAGAAGTACTACTACTACTACGTACTTCGCCAGTCTCAGCAGGCTGCAGGTTTCCCGTGTGTGGTCTCCTGTCGTTCCAGGCCCGAAGCCCAGCGACCACGGGCCACCGACCAAGGACCACCGACCAAGGGCCACCTGCCACCTGCCACCTGCCACCTGCCACCTGCCAAGGGCCACCGACCACGGCCCACCGACCAAGGACTACCTAGTACTACTACTATACGTACGTACTTACCGTACCGCACTCTTTCCCCTGAAGAGAAGAGAAGCCGGTGGGTCGTGCGAGGGGGCCAACTGCAGCTGACGAAGGGCCCAACATCAAACCACACTAAGCAGGGGCTGCCTGGCAGTCTGGCTGTCTGTCTGCCGCCCGCTGTCATGGGGGGAATTTCTCAGACAAGCCGGCCTGTCAGCCAGCCCAGTTTAGGCAGCTCAGATCCAGCCAGTCAAGTCCCGCCAGGACTTCCAAGCGGGGATGCATCATCCCCATTTCCCCATCTGATGATGTTGGGACGGATATACGAGCAGAGAGAGGAAGAAGGAGAGAGAGAGAGAGAGAGAGAGAGAAGAAAGAGAGAGAGAGAGAAGAAGAAAGAAAAGAAAGAAAAGAAANANANAANAA